GTAGGATTCCAACAATAATCAGGTTGTTTTTAAACCAGAAGCCATTTAGAGTCCCACAGGATTTGTTGATTTATCCATCCATGCTAAAATACTTCCCCTCTGAAAAGAAAATGGCGAGTAGTGAAAACATTAAGTCGAAAAGCACAAATTTGAGCCAGGATTTGTCTTTGCCTACTTGTAGCACAAGGAATCATACCAAATTAGATCCGAGGTCTCATGGCTCAATGGATTGTTGAAGTGGAAGGTGTTGAAGAACAATATGGCAAGTCATCTTTCAGAGACTTTATTTAGTGGTCAACTTGGTTACTTTAAATGTCATGAGTTGATTTTGTAAATCATGCCGCTTCTGTTTTGTTCAGGGTAAATGAGGGAACATGGCAATGCTTTTGGATTCAGGGAGATGTTATTTGACATTTACATGTACTTATTATTGATGGAATCCTGTGTTTAAAAGAGGGAGTAGTATCTTAAAGAAGGAAGTCTGCTACACAAAACAAAAGGAAAAAGTATATTTTGGTAACTTGCGTGTAGCTTGGGTAACCTGGAATTCTATTTTTATGACAAATATACATGCGTAACTTCCAAGAATGTAGATAAAGAAGTTTTAAAAATGTGAAATCAAACTGTTTGATTAGTTGGTTGAAGATCTGACTAGGGGCCAATTTCATAGACCTGCTTAAGCACAAAATTTGCTTAAGCAGGAAAAAAATTCACTTAATAAACAAAGGTTACCGGCTCAAACTTATTGTCATGCTAACCAAAAAAATAGCTAAATACAATCCCAAATCAATGTACCTCACATGGAGTTTTGGCTGGTTACCTGATTTAGCAAGTAAGGTTTTTTCGTGCTCAAGCAAATTTTGTGCTTAAGCAGCTCTATGAAATTGGCCCCCGGATATAATCAAAGCTTCTTCTGTCTCATGCCCCAAGTATTTCTTGATATTCATTTCCTAAAGTGTGGCTGTGTAAATGTGTATTCCTTGCCATGAAAACAAAATACAGCGTAGTTGTGTAAATGGATGCGTCTCACTAATCCATCAACTAGGAGTTGTACCTTCTTCGTCTATTCTGTATTCCCATGCTACCCATTCCGCCTCCCCCCCCTTCTCCTTGTTGATGCATCGGATGCTTGGCTTGTGATAGTGTTTCCCCCTCTGCATTCCCTGGAGATGAAGGCATGTAGGCCTTTGCCTTATTGGCATGAGTAATAGGCACACAGAGATGTGTTATGCAGCAGCGTTTACCTTCTGCCAGTACGGCTGACATATCTTGTTGTGTCAGTATCAAAACCTTACCTTTGTCAGAGCAGACATTTACATTTGGCTCCTTATCATAAACATTTGTTATGTGTTGAAATTTTGTTTATTTGGTTTCCATTGAGAAGTTCGTTGGTTCTAGGCAAAATACGCATTCAGTACAGCTTTGATTTGTATTTCAACCGCATAAGTAGATTTTCCTTATAACCATATACAACGTCAATTTTTGATTTTAGAAAAAGCTGATGCAGTCTTCTGGAGACTGCCTGAAATCACAAATTCTGTTCCAGATGACCGTATTCGTGGCAACAAATGAATAGATGCGTGACTCAGTGTAAGCCATTCCATGTGATGATGTCCTTGTTGATAAAAATAAGTTAATATCAGCATTAGTCTGCGCTCATTTTGTTCAGAAGTCTGAACAGACTTCATTAGATTGCACCTTATACATTACTCCTATCCTGGAAAGGACAACTGGACATGAATGTTTGATCATTCTCTTTCCCTAAAAACAAGTTTCTTTAACAACCTACTTGGCAAAGTCCATTTTTCCCTTACTTTCAATCATCTCCCGACATGGCCAGCTGCTCCTTGTCTCACACTGAGCAAGATGTCTTCTGTTCCAGGTGATTTTTTTTTTGTCCCCTGGGCTCCATCTGGCCAAAGTGAGCCACATGCCACCATCACCACACGTGCTTTAAGCACAGCGCAAGTGCTAGACTTCATGCTTCATCAGCGGTAGGCCAGGTCCAAGAGTGCGGAGCAACACACTGACTGTGTCATGCTAGGAGATAGACAAATATGACAAACCAGAGTTTGCTCTGCACAGAGTACATGTTGACTGCAGCGCAGCACCAACATGTTGGGATAGATGTTCCTCCTTGACCCAAGCTTGGATTCCAGTTGTACCTAAATCTAGCATCTGAGTAGTGAATGTATCCATCTAGACCCACTACCAATTACAAAGTAGATAAGGGTTATAGAAAGGTGCCAATGAGGGATACTGGTGGACGAAGCACTGCCATCTAAGGACTTGACATCAAGCCTACCCACAAGCAGTGAGGGCAGAAGGGTTTGAAGTCAATGTGTCCAAACCAGGTGATGTGATCAGATGACATGTTGATCTAATGGTAATGCCCTTGAAAATCTTTCCAGAGTATCTAAGGCTTGCTGTCAGGGTAAAAGTATCACCTAGATGCACAAAACACGAATGAACCTTGGAGCACTACATGTATTGGTTCTGTGTCATGCCAAAATGTTGGCATAATATCTTTTACCAAAAACTGCTGGTACCTGGAATCAAAAAAGGAGAAAAACATTACTTTTATAATGTGAAAAATTATGACAGTTAAAAAATAGCCAGGGATTCAGAGAGTTCCTTGCTTATCGATTCCTGTGGTCCATAAGAGATAAACAGAGCATGAAATTGTTGAGTTGAAGATGCAGGCGGGTACTGGACTACAGTGTACGTAAACATCTGGGGGGGGGGTCCGTCCCAAGAACTTGTCTGTGCCACACGTGGTGCACAGTGTTTCACAATCAATACACTTTAGAAATTTGAACAAGTTTAAAATTATCACTTCTGGCATGTGAAGAGGTGCTTCATTGTTTTGGTTTTTCAAAATTTCTCTGAAAAATTTCTAGACTACAAAATTTCTGTTAACTACAAGACTGAACCAAGGCAAAATCAAAACTCACAAATAGAAGAGCTGGAATTAAAAGTAAATTCACTCTCACTCGCGCTGGCCAAAGTCTTTATTTGAGGTGGTTAGGTTGATGGAAAAAGGAAATTCATTTCAATTCACTTTGATCAAGGGGGCTCAACTTCAATTGGAGAATTTAATTTTCCACTTTTGAAATGGGGCAAATCTATCATAGAATCGGAACTGTTCTGCTGCTCCCTGTTACAGGGGCCCGTATGTGTGGTTTCAATTTTCCCAGAGAGGATCAAAGTCCAGAAGATGGAAGATGAACAAAAAGAAACTAGTGGCTATCAGGAGCGGCTGCCGCCAAAAAAGTCAATCCACAGAACTGCCATCCTGAATGGAAAACAAACGCCAGCGGTTTTCTGCTACAAATATGCTTAGACCTGATCCTGTACAGGGTGTAATTACAGGGCAGGTGTGTTTGTGGCTGTGTGGCGGGTGGACGGTGAATTATTAACCATAATCGGGAGTGTCTCATTGCTAAGAAGCCGCTGAAGCTTTGATAGTGTAGTACATAGAGATCCTGTGTCAGTAACCCAGTTACACTTTACCCTTTACTACAAAATTATAAACTTACAGAATGGTCTTAGGAATTAAGTTGTAAGGGATTCCTACTATTTGCCATTCCAGAGATACATGATCCATGTCTGTGATCAGAGAGTTTGGGAGAGGGATGGGATAGGGATTGAATCAGAGTTAAAGGTTAACTCAGTTTGGACCTTTTACCTTGTTGGAATGTAATAGTACCTGCCTTGCCAGTTTTCAGGTCTGTTTACTTATTTTGCGTAACACTTGCTAATCAGAAGATATAAATGAGTCAATCTAAGAGCTTTATCTCTAAAATGCTTTTAGTAATCAAAACCACTCTATTGCGGAGTAGCAGTAAGCGTGGGTTTTGATGTGTATAGCAGCTGTGTGGTGTGATGGATGGTTGTGTTGAGTTCACTGATGGGGTCTGTCTAGAAAGTAGTATTTTGTTGCACTTTGTTGGTGTTGAAGTTGGCAATCAAACAGTTCAGGCAGATCAGGCACATCTTGTTTGTGTGATGGGCCAACTAACTATTGTTGCTCTTTTCTCCACTAAGTCAGTTGACCTTAAAGTTTAGGTCATGTATGGTCAGCCTTTGAAAGAGACTACCAAAAAGGCTGACAGTGTGTATTGACAGAATCTATTCTAGCACTGAATGGTTCAAACACACCCTAGTGTCTGTTAAAAGCCGCCTATAGACTGTCCAGCACAAAGCCACATGTAATTGAATCAGGTCTTGCCCATTGTGCTGTTTCTTTTGTCATGGGGCTGTCATAGTTTTCCCAAATCAAATCTCCACCACCTCCAGATTAGTTTCCGTCCAGTGACCAATTTGATTGCAAACAAGGTCGTTGGCCACTTTATATGGAGTCTGTGTGTATTGATCTTTGCACACGGGCCTTATGATTTGCTTGGTGTTTGTCAGCAGTGTGATCTCCTAGCTGCTACATGTATCAAACCAAAACAGTCAGGTTGACACCTGAAGTAGGCCATGGGTTCTCTCCTGACCAGAAAATGTGAGTATAGGTGTTAGGTGTCTGACACAAGCAACTCAGTCATTCCTTGACAGGACAGGACAAGAAGGATTCATGTTTTGAAAATGAGATGCTGGAGTTTTGAAGAGCATAAGTAGTATCTCTTTGGTTTCTCGTCAGTCATTGAAGTTTTCCCTTACTGGTATGGGCAGGGATTGATTTACTATCATGTGTTTACTGTGCGATGATATTCGTTCCTCTGTTTGTCAAATTCAGCAGTTGCACCAGCCAAGGTTTGTCAGTGGATAGGCCCTTTAATTAAAATACCTCACACCGAAAAAGCAGACTTGGATGGGAACTGAACCACTTCCACTGGCTGCCAAGTCCAGGTAGCTCAACCACTGCGGTGCTGAGTGTACAAGCGGATACTGCCAGTAGGATCCCACCACTGCCACCATTCTGTTTGCGATGACCCTTGTCTCTGTGATGGACAGTTTTGTAACAAGGCATTCTTTTGAAATTTCCTCCTCTTCAGATCATGACCTGGAAGACTTGGACATGCAGACTGTGCGATACAAGCCGGAAGGCATCGATAAGCTGTGCAGAACGACAAAATTCACCAAGAAAGAATTACAGTTGATGTATAGAGGCTTCAAGCAGGTAGGTAACAAGTCATGTAGCTATCATGTCCATTCCTAAGAAACAACTGCTCTCTCTCTCCTCACTCTTGAGATCTCTACAGCATCTTGAAGATGGTTGCTGAGGCATGGCGTTTCTGTTGTGTGACTTCATGTGCCAACAATTGATGAGTATTGTTGCCATGGTTCCTGGAAGGAATTGAACTACCTACCTAAAGCTTCATTCCACTCTCCCTCTTCCCCCATCCCCCTCCTTCAAATGACCCGCCACAACACCCTCTGTCCCATAGTCTTTTGTCCTTGGCCATTATTTGAAAGGAATTGCTGGCCCTTAACGCCTGTAAAGTACAGACTCAGGCTTCTCCTTCCAGAGAATTACTCCCATGACTCAATAAATTACCTGATACTCTGGACTTTAGTGTCAGATTGAACCAAGGACAAGTGAAAAATGATGGCTAATGACCCAATTCGTTACACTCAGGCACTCCATTACATGCAGATGCACAAGATTAAAAAGGGGTGTCTACAGAGTAATAAAATATCATCTTTTCTGCCATTTGGAGAGCGATGTGAGACTGTTGTTGCCAGACTAAAGACAGCTTGAGGGAGCAAGGTAGTTAGCGTCAGCAGGGTTAACTCACCTATGCTTTCCATTGGCCATCCTGTTGGAAAGTTCTAGATACCTAGAAATGGGGTCAGAATAGATTGGAGTTGGTGGGACTCATCAAGGATAGTAAGTCTCATCAAGCCAAGGTGTTGCTCTGGAGTCAGGACTGACGAGGAAATTGGGGTTAATGAATTGCATGCTACACTGTTATTGCCGTGTTGCTAGAGGGCATTGCAACAGAGGAGGTGTTATGTTGTCACATGATCAATCAATAGTCACGCTTCCCTGTATGCCATTTCAAACAAAATTGTCCAGGGAGGCCAAGCCAGAGAGAAAGAGCATCATGATTCAATTCATTTTGTTCACACATGTCAGAAGTGGTGTGAAATGGGATAGGAAAAAAATCTTACTGTTAAAAGTTTACTACAGGTAATTGTTACATTGGCCCATCCCGTGGGAAAGTTTTCACAATATCAGAAGATGAGATATACCCTCCCCCTTTTTCCAATATCAACTCTGAGGTTTTCTAGATACACACTTGATTCTTTAGTGTCTCATGAGATTGTTAGTTGCTTTTAGCTACGTCCTTCTATTCCATTTCATGAGTTTATTGTGTTTCATATTGTATTTGATTTTGTGCCTCTCGAGATGAGAAACCCAAATAAGTTTTTAGATTTCCCCAGTGGCATCGGAATGGCTCTGTTTCCAATCTATTTCGTCCACCCCAGGCCTACTTGAAAGGGGAGAGAAATACCTACCAACATGGCCAAGATGAATCCAATTTTTACTCACCCAGTTCAGGGAAAAGCAAAAAAAAATTGTGTCATCGTCTCGAATCAGTGTGCTTTTCTGATAGTTTTACCTCATTGTTTTAATTTGTTTTGTGGATGTGAAATAAAATGGGCCAAACTCCAAAGTACAGCGACATTTGTAGTTGTAGACTTGTTTTGATAACGAGCCAGCATATCAAATTGATGACACCATGATATCACCACGCCAGGTTTCTTAAAGGTTTGTTAATCTACAGATACATACCGACATGTATACACCATCATTATGACTATCTTCCCTTGTCTTGGTTAGTCAGACTTTTCCTGATTCTCCGCTCTTCTGTATGTTTCCCCAATGCCAGAAAAACTTTATTGAGCAGAAAAAGGAACTCATCAATGGATGCCTGTTAGTAGCGTTAACTTTCCTTGGCAGCTCTCTCCCAGCAAAGCCTGGATTCATCTCTGACCAAGAAGTAGTTTATTTTAGTCTGAGTTGATGGTTCATTGGACCTCCACTCATGGGTACAGTCGGCACGTTAGTGTGGACAGACTTGAGTGATGGTCTGCTTACAGGGTCCCGGAGTCTATTATTTTCTCATTAAAAATTGAAAGTTCAAGACGAAGTCTCCGTAATATGGCCAGAACTCTTGTTGCTGTCAGACATTTCCTTGCTTGATTGCAAATGAGATTTGGAAGACAAATTTGTAAATTCTAAACCTCTAGGAAAACAACCAACCTAATTACAATATCAACAAAAATACCCCCAGAAAGCTATTGATATGAATGAAATAAAATGATTACATGATTAAAAAATATCAAGTGATAAAATCAATAGGGAACTTTCTTCTTGACTTGGTTCAGAATTGTTGTCCTGCAAGTCTGGCGTTGACAGGCCATTGTTTACTTCGTGAAGGATAAGCAAAAGAACTTGGGACGATTTGGGTTGGACAGGTCAGGAGATACATGTAGGTTGAATGAACAGAGAAGATGGGAAGTAACCCGTGTTCCTTTTTCTCCGATTGACCCTTGTTTAGCTAAATTTTGAATCCAAATCTTGCATGTTGTTTAGATAAGGTAGTGCGACCTTTGGATGGAACAAGCAAAGTGCATTACCTACTTGATGAGACTGGATAGCACTGTAGATTGCACTTGTATCTCCCTTGGAAGGCCCCGTGAAAGCCATGAAATATTCAGTCCTTGGAAGACCGAAAAGCAGATTCCCGAATGAATGCCTCATAGGCTGCGTTTGCAATTCAGAAAGGAAATTGGCCGATGGGATCATTAAAGATGGCGGTTGAATTGTTTAGGAGATGCAAGCCAGTCAGGGAGGAATAGTCAGAGTCAAAAGGGTCTCTGTTTACTGGCCATTAGAGACTCAGTGTAGTGAGGTTTGTTAAGACCATAGACCTAGGCTGTTCAGTAATTCATAGATTTCACAGTGTTATAACACGCTATATCATATGGACATGACAGTGCATATTTTATCAGCTGCATGGTTTTTAGATGAGTGTAATGACATCACAACCATAGCACACTCAGTCTGACTGTTAATATCCTGGTCAATCTGATGGATATATTTCTTGCTGATTACTCTTTGGAAATTCTTGCTCTGTTTTGTGAAGGACATCTGGAGTGGATAGACAAATCATTGTTACTTTGCTATTTCTGTGTTTTTTCCCTATCTTTTCCTGTGAACATGATTTTAGTGTTTCCTGTAAATTACAGAAATTTCATCTGAAGCAGTTGCTGGAAGTGTCGCAAGTTGTTGAACTTCTTAAAATTATCTAGAATTCTGCTTTAAAGTTCAGTTTTTCTTTTTGGAAAAAAATTGGAATTAAAAATCATCAAACATTAAAATCTCCCTGAATCTGGCACACGTGAATAAACTTCAATACATACAAGAACCTAGGTGAGTTAGCAATTTCCTGTTTATGCAAAACCGTGATGGATGGCTTCATAAAACACGTCTTTGATCTGTTCACCGGCTGAGGTTTCATTGTGTAAAATATCACGTTCCCCCTCGGTTTTTGTTTGTGCCAGGAGAGCCAAGAGTAGGGGGGGGTGAGAGCAGTCTAGTTTCTTGACTCCTCTTCTATGCAAGTCCTGAAGGCATGGCGTGATAGTTCCATTAGCTGTCAGCCTGTTCTCCTGTGTGCAGAAGTGCCTTCATAACGATCGGGTTCCATGTTCAGCCAAGGCAGAATGCACAATCGATATATTTCTGCTTGTGAAAGACTTCGTGCTACCGTCTTCTGATGATTTTCATAACTGTAAATACTTCAGCGAAGCTGCGTTTTCTTCATGACCAACCTAGTCTGAATATTTCAGCATATTCAAAGTTTCCTCTTTGATGGTATTTCCTCACTTTCCTCCCCATACATGCAACAAAAGCCACAACTTTGAGAGATGGTTGATTTGCACATTTTCCCTTTTTTTGTTCTCCTGCAGGAGTGTCCATCAGGACTGGTCAACGAAGAAACGTTCAAAGAAATTTACTCCCAGTTTTTTCCCCAAGGAGGTGAATTTGAAATCAGTCATTCAGTAGCTCAATGATGTCTCATTCTGACTTCAATCAAACAAGCTTTAATACTGCTTGTCATTTATTTGAAAACCCACTGAAGTATGGAATATTTTTAATCATATGGATTGACATGGAGTACTTGTTGTTTGAATATATCATGAAGCTGACTGTGAATCCCAAATAATGGTTAGTTGCTCAGGGTTTTTGTTTGTTGGTATTGTAAAAAAAAGAAACTTATCCATAGCTACTCTGCAAAATTTCATTTAAACAGAAGACAGTTTTTAATTTATTTTGAATTAAAATTTCTTTTTCTGCTTTGGTTGTTTCTTTACAGATTCCAGTCATTACGCCCACTTTGTCTTCAATTCATTTGATACAGATCACAATGGCTCCATTACATTTGAGGTAATGTGATATATGTAACAAGTACAACCCTACATGTAACTCCTCCCTGGTCTATTAAACTCCAAGCAGTTTTGAAGGATTTTGAAGGATTAAGGAAGGTAAAGCCCAGCCACTGTTACTTCACATGGAAGTCAGTGGTTCCTTCAAGTAAAAGGACAGTAGTATTTTGAAGGATACAGGCAGGTTTCTGGCAGGAAAGCCAGGATAGGTTGGGGGTAATGTACCCTCATCTCATTGCCTTCCTTCCAAAACCTCCTTCCAGACTCCCTCTTCCCACAAATAGCTATTCTCACCTGCATCAGTGCTTCCACTCCCAAAGACTTATGGAAGTATGAGTGATCAAAACAATTCCTGAGACAAACCCCAACCTGAATCTAGTCACATAGTTCCCAAAGCCTGACTGCGTCCGTGCTCACAACTTTATTTTCTTCCCAGAGAGCAAAATCCCACTCCTTAATAGTTTTAAAGCCCCCTCCCCTGAGTGGGAGCTTTGCTGTATTCCTTTCCTCCATTCCTGAATGCCGCCACAGTTCTTGTATCTATAGCTGCTCCTGCAGGCACTAGACTTGAGCACTGATGGGCTTCCGTCACGCAGAATGCCAGCGTATAGCCCCGAGGTAGACAGCGTACGTGTTCAGATAGATAGAAGTGGAGCTTGGTTTTCAAATTCGTTTGCAGCTTGCGTGAGAAAAGGTTGTTGATGTCTGCTCTGCACTGGTTTGAATAGAACGTCGTGCCACCAGTCTACAGTATTTTGTTTCAGTTGCTTGAAGGCATGGTTGTAAGGAGGGTCAGCAGAAGCGACCGTTTTAGACTAAAATTCTCAAATAAATAATTCATTTTTTACTTGTGGAGTGTTTCGTCGGAAATAATTCATGCGAGCAAAGTCATTGGCATTACCTTTTATCATGGTAAATTTGTGATATTTACTTGGTGTCTGTCTTAACTAACTTGCAGTGTCATGAATATTTGAAATGCTGAAACCAAAATTTAAATATCTGGTACTTTACAATTTGGTATCACAACTTGTCTAAAAATCACACAATTCAGTGGAAATGTTGAATCAAACAAGTGACAGCCACACTTGCTTGTCTTGATGGCTGCTGGTATTAATTGGTAAAGATCTTGACTAGCTGTCAATTGCACTCATTAAATATTGAAGTCAAAGTAATATAGTCTGAAGAAATGTCAGTTTTTGACCCCCCTGGGGAAATCAAGTGAAGTTACAGAGCAAATTTAGGCAAGGCGTCTAGTCAGTCCTTGATCCTCAGATTATAGTGTTGCCAAGTGGGAAATCTATTGGGTACATTAATATAAAAGGATGTCACATTGTCTAAATTGATGGTGGCAGTGGATTGAATTGGACGGGAGTCGGGTGTATCAAATTCATTTCGCTCAACTCCTTGAGGAATTGATAAAAGTGCTGACAAAGAAATGCCCATTCAGTGACAGTGGTAGCATGCGCTTTGTTGAACTCTTGTGCCCGAGGTAAGAGGTAAGGGGGCTCAAGGTGACAGTTGTTCCAGAAAGTTGATCGCTTGACTTTTCGGAAGCTCTTTTAATATTAATCTCAGTCAACAAAGACTTTTAAATCCACTGCAGAGGACTGAATCATTCATCAGACCAGAGTCAGTACCGTTGGCAGAAAGGTACATGTAGTGTGCTAGATTTTAAAAGAAGTGTCAGGCTTTGAGTTCCCTTTCATTTGTAGCCATGTGTGTTTGAGCTACAAAACAACATTGGAGCCACCCCCAACATTCTGTGTGGGAAAGTTCTTAACAGCATGGATCCAAACTGAACACCCGGAGAGTTTTGCTGTCACTTCACAGCAAAGTGCGAGCAGCATTTTTGTCTATGATGTTGTGTCTATTTTTTTGCCTTCCCACTTGTAGGAGTTTGTGACAGGCTTGTCGGTACTCTCCAGAGGAACACTAGAAGACAAACTCAACTGGGCATTCAAACTATACGACATCAACGGGGATGGGGGCATCACAAGAGAAGTAAGTAGATGAGTATCAGCTAAGGTAATGAGAGCGCCCTCTGTTGGCCATGATCCAATGAGCGGCAGGCAAGGTTTTTAGAATTTGCCGTGACATGATTCTTTTGTTGTTCACAGCAGTCCTACCATCATTCGCACTCTTTGATGACCAACAAAATGTCACAGTGGAGGAAAGTGTAAAGTTTTAAAAAAGCTGATTCAATCACAAGAGGGCACATTATTGAGCAATCTATATACACGTACACTGCTTCTTTAATACACCTGTTCTTATTTTGATACAAGTTCCTCATTTGTGTTAGAACACCAGGTCATAGTAATGAATAGCAGCACTTTCAATATGGCTGGACCTTCTATGCATATTACTATATGGATAATTCCAGTAATTAGGGGGTCCATTTTTCTCTGTGTCCCTGTCACATCTGACATATGATTTGTAAGTTCAGAACTCATTTTCTGATCTTTCCAAGAGTGGTGAATTAATGCAAATTACCTGCCAAACAAATAGTGATACTTTGAAATCAATTCCGGTGATATTTCCATATCAAATAACAAAGGTCAGATGTAACAGAGACACAAAGATATCAGACTTTTGCTGGAATTACCCCTAAACAAGCACATATGATGGTACACACTGGCACATTAGGTTCAATCAATTAAGGCTGCATGGCTGTTTCTTCAAACCTCATGAAAATTTTAATGAGCTGTTCTGTTTGGAATTTCTGAATTGTAGACCTTTATTATTCATGAACTGTAGGTATTTCTGACGGTGCAAAGTCACTGTTTATTCAACAAGATTTTACTGTGGATTCGGTGCATTTGAACTCTATCATGAATAACGAGAAAGGCTCTGCTTTTCCTCAATTCTAGACTTCAAAAATTAAAAAACAGATGGAACTATTAGTTGGTATACATGTATAATGTGTCCATTGAAAAACGGTAGGATTCCCACACTGTCTAATGATTGATAAATAATTACATCCATGATGTTTCCAATTGATTTTGTAGGAGATGCTGAGTATAATACAGTCAATCTACGACATGATGGGCAAGTACTCGGAACCTACGTCAGAAGACATCACTCCGGGCGAGCACGTTGAAAGAGTCTTCCAGGTAGGAGTGTGGTTTCAGTTGCTTCCCATGGAAATTAATTTTTTCTTCAAAATTTGGTCTTGTAGTAGAGAAGGAAGTTGCATGGAACTTGATGTCTCAACTAAAGGGGCTGTAACATCGCAAAATCAAAGCTTAATGCCCATGGTCTTGTCAGCCATCTTGGTCTTGTGCCTTTATGATTCCTGTAAAGGCAGTCACTTTATCACAGGCACCTGGCCAAGACACCAACCTTAGTTGGAATGCTAGGGCTGTGTCCGCATTACTTGGCCGCAGCCTGAAATTACGCATGAGTTTATGGCAGTAACAACCAGTTCCCATAGGGTCATATGTAATTACAAGCCACAACCAAATGATTTGGATGCCACCTGAGGCTGGCATAACACACACGTTTGTTGGAGATGGATGTAGCCACAAGCTAGTTGCTTTAATAATTCCCACTGTCATTACCAAAACTCTTGGACATGGCTTCAGACTTTTCTTAAGTTTCACATCAAATCACTTCTGTTAACCACTTCATGCCGGGGCATTTTTCAATGTTGATGATGCTGGGCCCGCATGACTATCATTTTTTTCGTTTTCAAAATCCTTCAAAAATTCATCATTTCATTTAAAGGTCGTTTATAGCCACACAAAGTAATCTTTAAGCACTACTCTAAGTTGACAGGTGACCTTCATTGACGCCGGAGTATTTCCCCAGTGGTAATCCGCTCGCGCTAAATCCCCAAAACCGTGGTATACTGTTTCAAAACAAGGCTGGATTATCTCCACTATTGAGCGTGAAAAATGTTGGTAATTCCCAGCAGCCTAGTCTTTTGTTACGAGTACAGTGTTTTGTTACAAGACCCAGTCCCCTTTGTCCGATTTCAGAGACCCCGGCTACGTTTATAAAGAATACATGTCCGGTACGGGAAACCCTGGTGGCAAGTGGTCAAGGGCACCGCCATTTTGGACTACAACCATCTCCTAGGCAATCCATCTGTTGATCATTCTCATACTCTGTTCATTCATTCTTGTCTCATCTGTTGCAGAAAATGGACCTTAACAAAGATGGTGTGGTATCGTTGCAAGAGTTTTTAGAGTCATGCAGTAATGTAAGTGTTACTTTGGCACTTTGCTCTGGAGTTGTATTCATGCTGTATTTTATTGCCAGTATTTATATGATTGCAAAGTATATCAGACATTGTTGATGTCTAACACTTGTTCTGTTTCTCCTCTTTTTTTTTTCCCTGCCCCATTTGTAGGATGAAACCATCACGAAGTCCATGCACGTCTTTGATACCATATTATGAACCTGGAACAATTGCCGCAAGGAGATTTTTTTTTATAACGAACAGTGTGACAATGGACACTACGTATCTGCAGGGAAATTCTATGTGCTATGTCTATGCCATCCATTGTTTTTTGATTGCTGTGTTTTCAGACGGATCAGTTTTGCGAGAAGGCTTCAGTAGATTAAACCTGGATGTCTGTTCACACTAAGGTGGCAGTCGGTTCGAATGGGGGATTACTGTCTTTCACAGCTACAGAATAGGACAATTTTTGAGCCAGTGGAGTTCATTGGATCTGCAGTTATGTTCAGTTTCCATGGCAATGCTTGTTGCTGTGTTCAAAGTGGATGGATTACCAGTCCTCAGATTTGCCCCCTCAGCTTGCATTTTCACAGCCTTGCAGGTGGAATCAAGTGCCTGTAACCTTTGTAGCTGAGGTCACTTTGGGGCTGGATTTCAGGAACCTGTAAACGTTCTCTTTTGAATTTAGCAGTGCTGATGCGCTTACCAGCCCAGCAATCCTCACTGCATGCATTGTATACCTTCACATCTGTCTTGCATCAACATGGATGTGTTCACACTAAACAGAGGCTGCTGATACAGTATCAACAGGATTACAGATTATCTTCACAAAAATATTCTAAATTCAGATGTATAAAAATCAATCAATATTCACCAATGCTCAGGAAATAACACTGGTGTATTTATTGTAATTTCATGTTGTGGTAATTATAGAGCAACCTAATATGTTTTTGGTTTTTCCTGTCCTGCAATAGAGGTTATGTGTTAACACGTCCTCAGAGGGCAAGAGTTTTGTATCACAAGGATAGGCTCAAGTAAAGCTTTGGTGCATTCATTGGAAATAACTTAAATTAATAAAAACAGCCTCACAGATGCCAGAACACATAACCTGTATTGCTTAAGTCCCCTCGCACATGTATATGAGCTCATTCAGCTAGCAAGAAAGAGAAAATACAAAATTGGATACAAATGTACTCCCTGGAGTTTCAAGAAACAGAGCAATAGCAAATGCAGACAGAAATTGTAAAGTTTGCAAGAGTTTTCTCTTTAGAAAGTTACCATGGCAGCTAAATATGAAAACTATTGCTCGATGTGCTTGGTTATTTAAAAATAACCTGCACAGGGGTGGGGGGTATCTTTACAAAACTATCCTTGGAGATGTTTGTAACATTATCACGTGCCTTGCAGATCTAGAGGGAAGCCAAAGTTTTTACACATTGAAACGTCTGGCCCTTTTCCGTGTTATCTAGGCTGAATTTGGGATGAGTAGGAATGAATCATTTGGATCACAGACAAGACAGAATGGGGGTGGTGTTGTTTAAGCAGTTTCGTTTTCAATCCCAAGCTTTCTGTTCCCTTTCCTGAGCTTAAATGATAAAAAGTACCAACTCTTACATTCAAATGTGAAACATACACTTCAATACTTGTGATTCCCATCTGTTGCTGCCAATTACTCTTCAAATCAATTTTCTGCTACTATCTATTGTGCCTCAAGCTATTCAACACATGTATATAATCGGATGAATGAAATATCCAAATAAGGTACTGTACTCACTGGAGATTTATTTTATGTAGATTCGTCAGTGTTAAATAACTTTGTCTTTCCATGTATTTTGCAATTGGCCCATACTCAATGCAATATAATTGTAGAAACCTAGGCTAGTGTTGGGTAGTTTAAGATGAACAAATTCCTGTGGTACATTGGAATGATTTTTTATTTTGCCATTTCTGCTGACTGGCTCTAAGGCGCAATCATTTGTGGATTTTACACATCAACTTTATATATATATATTTTGTAAATACATACAGTATCTTAACCACGCCCTGACCACACCCACACCACATCCAAAAAGAACTACAGGGTACACTCCCAATGCTGCCCTGCCTACATCATGCTAGAGTGAATCTTGTCCTAGGTCTTCTATAGACGAAATGATGGGAATCAAATGTTGGCCCTTTTTTAATAGCTGGGATACATGGATGGAATTTTCCGATCTCTTGGTTTCAGGTTGGAGCATAGCTGTACATTTCCTCCACAGAATGTGTACAAAGAATCATTCATGAAAAGTGTGTGCATTGAGTCATTGATCAAAGTCAAAGAATGCACAGGGTTCTTACAGTTCTTCTTGTTTCAAGTTCAGGTTTATAAGAAATTGGGTTGGACCCAACCAAACTGGAGGACGATGTTTTATGATTTCGGCTGGAATGCAGTCTTTTGCTGATCCGTTATGTTAATGTTGGTATTTGTTGAGGTGTGTGTAAAAAATTGTTTTAAAATTTATTTCTTTGATGTACAGATTTTATTGATAGTGTTTTTGAAACGTCAGGCACGTTACAATATTCAAGGTAGTTTAGTTACTGGGCGAGAACTTATTTATAGATTTTGTAAGTCCAGAATTACTTGTAAATGGGAGAAATACAGGCCAAGATTAGATTAGTAGTGTCTCTCATGGGATATATCATGTAAGCTTGAATTTTTTCCCTTCACATTTGCTTTCAAAGTATTCATATTCACAGTTACATCATTTTCAATTTTTTTAGCCTAAGAAAGGTTTATTCGAATTGAACAGTTGCTAATTCTCAAATATCACAAAATCTGTACATAACATTTTTGTCTTGGTTGGTACCTTACTCACCACGGTCTTGTGTATACACGTCATCTCACTATTATGGCATGGCTGCCTTGAACTGTCTTGGGATGGTCAAAGGACATCAAGTGCACAACATCAAAGAAGGGAACGTTGCTACGATGTTGAAGTCCTAGTTTACATGCTCCAAGTCCTACTAGGCCACAGAGGTAGAAAGTTGTCTGGAAGTAAAACATTGATTCACTTGATGATACACTATTCTAGATGTCATTTCCATACCCCGGCCTGTTTTCACTGGTTCCTGTTTCAAGTTGAAAAGGGTTAATTTCAGTGAAGTTGGATTTCACATTGTACAAAGCCTCTTGAATATGCCAAGGGAGCCTCATGTTATTATCTGCCACAGTGTGTCAGATGCAAGGTGTGTGGGTCTGTTTCTCACGATCTAGATCCCTATCAGTGGTCCTTACTGGGGTTTGCACCATCCATTAGGCGAGTTTTGGTGTCCAAAACCAACGTTGGATCACTGATAATGATCCAGATGGGTGTGAAATAAATACAGCCATTATGTACAAATCTCATTCTGTGATTTGTGAATGTACAACAGTATGGGAACCTTTACCCAACTGACAAACATGTAAGGACTCGCATCGAAGCAGAAACACTTAAATAAGTAGAATGTGGTATGGTTTGCTTAGAGTACCGAAGTATGACTTCATTTTGAACCAGGAAGTGTTGTGCAAACAAATGAAGTATACATGTATGTTGGTTCATGCATTAGTTCTGGCACTAATGCCTTTTACACACACAATTGTACATGTGATGTGAGGCATTCTCTTTGGTACTCTGACAGTGCCGTAGCAGTCCGAAATATGGCCTCTTGAATGTGATTTTCTGATTTATGTCTTCAGTTTGGGTGCATTTGTTTCTGTTGTGACCTATATTTACAAAAAGTTGTAGAATGGTCTGAAGTAACCTGCCCATCATTATGAAAAAATCTTTGCAAGTAGACTACATTTTGGACTTGTAAAAGAAAACAGGAATGTTTTAACATTGATTTGAGGGAGCTTCATCTTTTGTTAATTTCAGTTAATTTGTGCAATGTTCAGTTTTGGTCTCAAAGTAGCTCAGAAATTCCTGTTTTTTTCTCCTCACAGCTTGTCCCCCTTTTTACTGGTGGAAATTACCGGTATGTCAAATCTTACTGCAGTTGCTTTCTTGAAATTTCCCTAAATCATAAAGTGGTAAACATGGCTGCCATGTGCATATTTAAACAAGTTGATGTACATACTATATTTTTTATTGACTACATAAATTGTATATTATTATGGCATTTAATCATAATTTGCACAAAGGACTTGTTAGTTGTATATGTTATGTGTACATTGGGGGTGTTCCACGATTGTAATTGTTGAGGTTTGTTTTATAGTGTCACCTTCACCTGAGATGTTAATTTTTACATTTGTTTTTTGCACGTGTTGATTTAACTTGGTTCCCTAGCCATTTCAATATCCAGCATTCTTGCTGAGGCCAAGATGTTTTGTATTCAGTCACGGCAGATGCCAAAAAAGTGTGGCATTGTAAATGCCGAAAACGAGCATAATTTATGATTACCATCTTGGCCCTTTAGCTTTAGGCACACTTTTAAATTAAGTTTGGTTATTAAAGTAGGGCTTGACTGCACCAAGCATATACCTTCTGCCCTGGCTATCCATTTGAGCAGGTGGCTACAAATCTCGTATGAAAAGCAAACATTGTTAGTATCATCATTGCAGAACAGGTTAACTCTTGGAACATCAGGCAAACAGGTTATCAAATGAGAGATCTTGAAGAAGTCGGCTAAGCTCATTCTTGGATGTCAAGCGGGTGAAAGGAAAAGGTCTATTTTTATCCTTTTGATGAGATGAATGATTCATTTTCAATTGAAATTTCCCAGCATGAACAGTTGTTTTGTTTCACATTAATAAATTTCAGATTTAAATACGGTATCCTTTAAATGCAAAAATTGGAGGCAAAACAGTAATACTCTATACTTTAGTGTGCAAAATTATGTAAAGCAGTGCTCTGAAGAAAACTCAGATCTTCTGGCATGCATCTCTCTGTGAAAATATTGAATAATGGTATTTTTCCAATTAATTTACCACTTTTCTTTCCCCTGTATACCTTATGGAATTGGGAACCAATCATCTAGAGTTTGTGCCAATCACGAAAATGTATGCTCTCAATGAAATTCTTAGACTTGGCATCAACGAGTTGCCCCAATATTCACCACTGGCTTTTTCCAAGTTTGGAACTATCATATTAAGACACCTTAGAATATTGTTTCAATACAGACAGACCCTCTTCGTATGACTGAGCTTTCCAACCCACATGTACATGCTTTCCTGATAGTCGTATCTGTCGGTTGTACAAGTTAACTTTGGATGGCCGAGTGGCCATAAGAATGAACGCATGTGTTCTATTCACAGAATGTTTATAAGTTACTGGTTTGGTCAAGTTAAACTTCTTTTATGAGTTTTTTACCCAAAGCCCCAACCCTATGTAAAGATTTCTTTTTTTGAGTTAAGCAGATAGATTGTAGTATTTCTTACCCATGACTACAAAATGGAACGGATGGCACTTGCCAGTACAGAATTATAAATGTAAATATTTTGTACTATTTAACAGACATAATTCAAATGAATGTTACCACTTTCAAAAATGAGGTTATGATATTTAAACCACAATAAACACTTAACTGATTTTTTGCAAGGTAATGTTCTTGTCCATGACTGGTTTGTGTTGGAGTTTCAGACAGGGAATATCAGCTTTTTATCCAAAACAGATTCATTTCAAGAATGTACATCTCGTGTAGAGGTGCGACCCTAACCATACAGAATTGAACACTGGTAATGTGTGTGAATTTGTGGCACTGGGTACTGTACCCCTAAACTGCTTGTGCTTTAACATGGGTTCAGGTATACCCAAAATAAACAAAGAGTCCAACAATTTTTGTGCACAGTTTATCATATGGTGTTGGAATTTGTGTGAATGGGTATGGTTCCTAGTAAATCTCTCTGGGGAGTTAGGGTTAAGGTAAGGTTCATCTCCAAAATGTTATTGCACTCTTCTTATTCTCAAAATGTTTATCAAGTTGTCTGGATGAAGACACATGTTGTCCAAAGTTTAATTTCAAACAAGTTTGAATTTGGGCTAGACAACGTAGTATTGGACTCACTAAAAATTTCTTCAGATATCCATGGGAAGGCTTTATACACTCACTAATATCTCTTAGAAGAAATGAAAATCTCTTTACGAAAAGTTCATATCAATATCCTTTGAAAAAACATTACCATACTATTACCCTTACATGTAAATGAATTTTAGAGTAGATCTGTTCACTTTTGATCAAATAATAATTTAGATTTGCTTGGAAGTTGGAAGTATGAATCTTGAAAGTCTAGAACATTTCAAAAATAAGTCAGTATCACTTCAAGACCAGTAAACATCAATAATGATTGTGACTTAAAGTAAATATTTCTCTCACTAGAAAAATGACATTCATTGGCTTTTTCCAGAATATGTTCAAGAAACCCATTTTGTATTTGCAAAGTTCTCGTCAAAACATTCAAGTGGAGATTGTAAAAAGTTTGAGGAAAGCAGCCCTTCTTTTATTCAGAGGATCTCTACAAGTGAACATGATCTTTTTTTATTAATTCTTTTAAAAATTAATAATTTTGAAAATGTTCCTATCTGATTACTGCATAGAAGCAGGAATGAAGATGCAGTGGGCCAAATACTGTTGAGTAATTCTAAATTATAAACTGGAAATTATTTCACATTTGGGAACTAAAAGGAAGTTACGGGGAAAGCGAAGTGAACCTTTCATTCAAATAAAGCATTTAAAACAAGAGTTAAAACAAAAAAAACCAAAAGTTCAACAGGCTATCTCAAGTCTTATAAAAGGGAAAGAGGTAATGCACTTGTTCCTCAAGTAAAATATTGGCAAAAAGTAAGGAAGTTTTAAGCCATCATGGTTAAAAGTAAATTGGTACTTCAAACATCATGGAAGAAGCAATTAGCTTAATATTCTCAGTTTTACTATTTAAAAAGTCCAATCTTCTTTGAAGCTGGCATTTCAAACTCAAGTTTTGGCTTTTCTGAATCTTGGATGTGTGAACACAAATTTCAAGAAACATGGGGAAGTTCTTGCCTATAAAATAAGTTGATAAATTATTCATATATAAAGCAGTAATTATAAACATTCAGCAAAACCTGAAAGACGGTAGTTTGGGGGCTGGAAAATGAGGGCGCTGTAATGATGTCATGTAGGAAAAATCCAATGTGAATTCAAAGTATGGCTGCAACTGAACTTGCTTTTAAACAAACCATTTTCAGTAATCTTTAGATTGAAGAAATCCCAGCAAGTAATGATCAAGTCGAAACTATCCTCAATCCTCCAATTTCAAAATGAAACACACTTGGGGATGAGGGCTAGTGTATATATTTCTTTTGTCGGAATATGCAACTTGTAGAGTGGCCGCACTGAACCATTCTCATTCAATAATGCCTTTCCAGATCAACTATGTACCAGAAAAAGTACAAAATGTCAGCATAGGCCTAAATATTAGGATGTTATATTCAACTGTTTATTACTCAGAAACACACTTTGATGAATCAAAGATTGTTTTTCACAAAGACAGACAATTTACAAATAAACCAGTTTGGCGATGAAAAGTTCTAGTCAATGCTGCAGAAAGACTTCCAGGAATGGTTTCCAAGAAGTCTAGCATGGTCACTCCAAGTCTGTTGCTTGCTCTGCCACAGAAATCCAAGTTGAAGTTCCTGGCTATGGATCTAAGCATTGGATTCAGGGCTCAGGCTTGTTGCAAGACCAACAACAGTGGGCATTAGGGACCAGGTCTATGAAGACTGGGAATTTATGCATTGGCACCACGGTTGATATCACTCAGCTGCAAAGCCTCTTGGCATCAATCTTGTTAGTGGTTTTGACTCTTCCAAAAAGACCAATCCTCATGAATCTCTTTCTCATGGACCTGCCCAGAAGGTGTAGCAGGAACCTTTATGCTGTAAGTGTATGCAGTCCACCTGAAACATGCAACATGAAGAACAAAGTATTATTAGATCAACCTAAAAACTTCCAGGACTTAAAAATATAATTTCCAGACCAAGTTTTCATCCCCAAAATCAACTTCTAACTGTTGGCAATACCATGTAAACATGGAAACTTATGCTGTCACCAGCCTCTACTAATTGTAACCGATAAACAAACAGATATTTTTTCCAAAAATGAAAGTGGGCATAAAAGGCAATGATACTACCAATTGCCTCAACTTCAATAAACAAAAACTGTAGTCACGGCAACTCTAGCTGCATCTTTACTAACCTCAACTGATCTCAGACAGGTGATGAAATGACCACATTGGGAGACAAGATTCCAGGCTGGAAGCAATGCAGCAGCTCAGAGTAGACAACTTGATGTTTGCTGCCAGCGTGGTGGTAAAGGTGAATGTGGTGAAAGTGAGGGTGAATGGTGCTAAAGTGGGAATAAGTCTGGTAGATGTGAAAGTGGTGAAGTGGATGTGAACATGAGAGTTGCCGTGGTAATAAAGTGAGGGGTGAATACGGTGAAGTCGAGTGTGAATGTATCAAAGTGAGGATAAATATGAAGGTGATAAGTTGAGGCTTTAAAAAGTGGCAGCTATGTAGTGATGCAGAAGTCCAAAGTTGATGCCTTGATGTGGGGTACTGTCCTGGCATTGCTGCTATCATGCTGATGCTGCCATCTCATATCACGAATGTAACCCTGTGGTTGTCCCTGAATGAAAACTGTATGCATAAAAAAGTATGGAAAATGACAAAAACAGACATGAACGGAAAGTAAGGTTGGGAATGGAAATGCCAGTTTTCCAGAACTCACTGAATTCATGTCAACTATTATCAACTATTTTAGCAATAAAATTTTATCCATTATAACAGAAGTTACTCATATTTCTTGCAATTGCTTTTCAAATTTCCTTAATAGCGGCAATTCTGGACTCAAAACTGTTCACTACCTTTGAAAACAGAGAGTAGAGAAGTACCAAGTCCTTGCTAGCATTGCCATCATCGCCATGTTGAATGCTGTCATCCATGTCAGGATTGTACTAGCTGTGTGGTTGTTCCTCGCTGGAAACTGTATAAATAAAAAGGAAGGAAAAAATGACTTATTTGGTTTCAATCTCATTTGATTACTGACAATTTCTTCCAATGAAGTTTCTTTGGAAAACAAACAAGTTTGGACAGAAAATATTGTTCACTGCTTCCTTTGACTAGAAATAATAAATACAATTCCAACAAAAAGATTTTAGGAATCTGGTAAACTGTAGAACTTTCCACTGTTTTCCTTTCAAAAAATGTATTTGTTAGTCCTGAATAAGCCTTCAGTTCTCTGAAGTTTGGAGATTATTCCTTTAATGAAAATAATGAAACAAATGAAAAAAGAAGGAAAAACACCGTTTATCTGTCTTAAAGGTCTCACCATTACGTTTTCATGCTATATTCTGGTTCTCTGCCAGTTGAAGCCACCAGTGAGCCAGCATGAAGCGATGTTTGAAAAGATAGATTCATGGCTACAAACATGCCACAGACACCTTGTAGAGATGCTGACCCAAGCCCTATGCAGAGATGCAAGTACCTGTACGCATTGATAAAAAGAAGACTGACAAGCCATGTCAGGTCATGACAAAGCCATGTCTGTCCCCATGCACTGGGTTAATAGCCGCACATCTCGCATTGGAGCCCTAGTACACTCCATGGTTAATGCCGCACATCCCACAAATTGGAATAAACTCCAATTATGTTCAGTTTATATCACCGCACCCACCTCAGCCCTAATGACATGGGGATATAGGAGATCCCACAGTCTCGGTCTTCAGAGGGATATAACAGATCCCTCTGAGCTAGAAATAAAAACCTACCCTGTGAATTTTCAGTCCCCTAATAGTTGGCTATCATTTATGTAAAAAGTCTCAGTGGAAAAGACCATTGTGCACTCGCTAAATGATCGATGGAGAAATGATAGACATAGGGATAAAGCAGATCCCATAGTCCTGTTGAAAGTGGTCCTAAATCAGATGTAGGGATGACCATTTCCAAAGTCCAGTTTGATGCATATAGGACGCAGGGATAAAGCAGATCCCATAGTCCTGTTGAAGGTGGTCCTAAATCAGATGTAGGAATGACCATTTCCAAAGTCCAGTTTGATGCATATAGGACGCAGGGATAAAGCAGATCCCATAGCCCTAGTTATCCTGATCCCCATATAACAATATCCCTTCATCCATCTGGGTTCCGAGTACATCTGAATGTGAAGATGATTCCTTCAAGTAGGCCACATGAGGTCCTTAAACAGGTGATCTGCAAGAAACCAAATACGAAATGCACTTACAAATACAAAAGGAAAACTTTTTTTTCAAAAAGAGCTTGAGTATATTTTCAAACCTTCAATCTGCGGCAGTATGGCGTATGGCGTACATACATGTACAGTAACTGGAAATTAGTGTTACGAATGCATCAGAACCACACATTTGTCAGTACGTTTGTTGAACATTAAGCCCCTGGGGTCAAAAGTCAGATTTTAAAAAGTTATTTTAGAATTAGAAGATTCAGATAGGACTGTCAAGGGTACGTTATCCAAATCAATTTTCTTCAAGTTTTGTATCACTGATGCTTGACTAAAAAGGGCACAAGTTCTTTCTAAAATTCCTCTGAATGAATTTCTAGTTCAAAAAAGTCATCTTTAACTTTTCCAAAATATCTAAGATAATCTTTCTTCTAATGCTCTTGCTGAAAATTTACACAGAACAATTAAAAAATTTGTTTCCCAAGATTTGCCACAAATCACTAATCACACAGTGCCATCACTTTGCAAGCATCTTGCAACCCAGAGGCCTTATGCATGTTCATGGCTATAAAAAACGGTTACCTTACCTCACAGAACACCAGATCCTCGCAATATAAATCCAAAACGCCAGATCCTCCGGGTCACACTATAAATCCACAGAACTGCAGATCCTTGCAAAACACTTCCAAAGAACTGCAGATCCTTGCACACTAAATCCACAGAACTGCAGATCCTTGCACAATAATTCCACAGAACTGCAGATCCTTGCACAACATTTCCACAGAACTGCAGATCCTTGCACACTAAATCCACAGAACCTTGCAATCCTGAGATCTTGGGCATGTTCACACCTGAAACAAATGGTTACCTTACCTCAGTGAACATGCGAATCTTGTTGCTTTCGCAGTACA